GACGGCGACTGCGGAAGGGAAGGCGGAGACACCGGGGAAGGGGGACGCGGCAGGGACGGGCCGAGGGGACTACCAGAGTCAACAGACTCCTCAACGGGGACAACCGACAGGAGGGGAGTGACGTGAGACACACCAGACGGGGCAGGACGAGGCAGGAGAGGAGCAGGGGCTACCGGGGGAGAGGGAGCCAGGAACAGGGGCGGGGCAACCGGGAGACCTCGGTGAGGGAAGCGACGGTAGAAGGAGACAGACTCATCAAAGGTGACGTCACGAGAGTGGAGGAAGCAGTGAGACGGCGGGTGGTAGAAAAGCCAGTCAGACGAGTCGAGGGGAAAACCGAGGAAGACACAGGGGACAGTGTGGGCAGTGAGCTTGTCCGTGCTAGAGGCATGAACGTGAGCAAGGCAGCCCCAGACGTGGAACGCAGACGCGTCAACGGGGGACTCGGTCCAAAGGAGGGTCGGCGAAACATGCGGCCGCTGGGAGTGTGGCCACAAGTTAAGCTGGTGAGCAGCGTAGGGAACAGCGAACGGCCACAGAAAATGGGGGGCATCGGCATGAATCATGGAGGTACGAGCAACCTCCATGACCAAGCCGATGCGGCGCTCAGCAACCCCATTCTGCTGTGGCGAGTCCGGCAAGGTGTACGACTGGGTGATGCCCTCCGCACGACAGAACTGTCCAAGCCGACCAGAGGCGAGCTCACCGCCACGGTTAGAGTGGAGACACAACACGGGGAGACCGCGGTGGAGACGAGCAGCGACAACCCACGGGAGAAGAACGTCGGGCACGTCGGCCTTCCGCTCCAGGGGAAACACCGTGGTGTAGCGCGTGTAGTCGTCGACGAGCACAAGGAAGTAGCGCTCACCGCGCGGTCCGAGGACGGGGGCAGGGCCCCAAACGTCGAGGTGCAGGGTCTGAAGGAAGGCAGTAGTAGGGCGCAGCGAGGAAGAGTGAGGAGCACGGCGGAGCCGACCCTCGACGCAAGGCGTGCACGGTGGCGCAGTCGAGGGAGGAAGGGCAGGGAGAGACGCGGGGAGACCTAAGACAAGACCGTGCTGGGACATGTGACGCAGACGCGGGAGAGCAGGGTGACCTAAGCGGTGGTGCCAGGGAAGGGACGGGTGAGTGAGGGACCGACACGAGCAAGCTGCAGCGACCTGGGAGGACGCACCAACCGAGGGGGAAGCGGTGCCTAGGGTAAACAGACCGGACACCGGGTCCCGGGGGAACGTCGCAAGGGGGGAACCTGAGACAGCCTCAGAACAGACAGCGAACCGCTCGTGCGCGGGGAACGTGGTGGTGACGCCGAGGTCCTGGAGACAGCCGACACCAACCACGTTCCTCGAGAACGAGGGAACGTGGAGGCCTGTAAGGGAGCCCGAGGGAACTGCTGGACAGGGAAGGGACGTAGAACTGCGAGCGACGAAAGGACCCGCAGAGGGGTCAGCGAGAGAGACAACGGCAGGCGCAGCAAGCAGCGTGAGCGTGGAACGGTCGCGGAAGAAGCAGGCAGAAGCACCGGAGTCGAGAGTGAAGGATAGCGAAGCAGTGGCGGAGGCCGGGGACGGAGCCGGTGCAGCGACTAGACTAGGCAAGCTAGGCAGTCCTACGCCTGACACAGAAGGGGAGGCTAAGCTACACAATGGTGCAACACCTAAACTAGAGTATACATGGTAATAAGATCCAGCAACACTAGAAGCGTCAGAAAACAACGCATGCAAAGCAGCACCTATCTGATCCATGTCTAACTCAAAGATCGGCACGCCCTGGCGGAGCAGGCTGTGCTAGTCGGGGAAGTCCGGGGCCGGGCCAAAGCGACGACGAAAGAGATCGTCGACGCGGCGGAAACAGCGGGCGGTCGGGTGCGGGCGGCGGCACAGAGTGCCGCGGAGAGGCCCGGTCTGAAGCTGGTACTGGAAGGTCACAGCACTGGAGCTGCCGGTAGACGCCAAGCTGCGCGGGCCGCCACCACGGCCACTACCTCCGGAGGTGCCGGGCCAGCCAGGCGGAAGACGGGCCCACTGCTGCGGCGACTGCTGCTGGGACGGCGGCTGCTGCAGGGCCGGCGGCTGCGGCTGGGGCTGCTCCTGCTGCGGCTGGGGCTGCTGCTCCAGCCCACCAGTAGTTGTCCCCGCAGGCGGACTACCATCACCAACACCACCACCACCTGCGCCACTACCCCTACCTCCCTGGCGACCACGGCCACCGCGGCGCGAGCGCTGCTGCGGGAGGATCGCAGCAGCCGTCTCGGTGAGAGGGGTCGCAGTTGCGACCGCAGCCGAAACGTCAGTGAACGTGCACTTGGAGGGGGCACAACCGTGAAAGGTAGAGACTGCCGGCGCACCGCTCGATTGACCGATAGTGCACTGGCGAGTCTCGATCTCGGTGAGGGTATCGACAAAGGCGGTGATGGTGAGGTCACTCGGGTGCTGGCTAAGGAAGTGATCGCGAGCACTAGCGAGGCGGTCTTGCAGGCGCATGGCGATAAAATAGAGCGTCATGCAGAAAGGGGGGGGGAGCGCAGTGAGCTGGGCAGCAGTGCTGGCAGTGCCATAGCGGGTCTCTAGGGCGCGCAGGTGAGTGGCAAAGTCTGCAACGGTAGGGAAAGCTGCAAGGTCTGGGAAAAGCATAGGGAAGAGCAGGCGGCCAGCAGAAGCAGACGTGGGTGTGGAATAGCGAGCAATAACGGCGTCTAAGTAAGCTTTGGCCGTCTCAATAGTAGCAAAGCGCGAGCGCTCAAACACAGGGAGGGCGTGGCTAACAGCAACCTGAGCGACTGCATCGCGGGAGTCCCAAACAGCACGGGCAAGCGCAGCAGTAGAGAAAGCCTCACTCTCAGCGGAGGAGGGGTCAGCAGGGAGGGGAGCAGGTGCGGGGGGGCGGGGGAGCAAGCCATTGACATGGACAACCAAAGGGTGGCCATCCTGGCGCTGACCTGTAAGGTGGCGGCGGAGATCAGAGAGCCAGGCGGCGAAGTCAATCGCATGGCCCTCGGCGTCCAGTCAGAGCACGAAGTCAGCCATCGTGCAGGGTCAGCGGCACAGCTTCACAGGAACACAGCGACGCAGGGACACGGCGACAGCACTCTCCAGCACGGCGGCCGCGAGGCGCCACAGCACTGGCGAGCAGAGTAGACGGAGCCCGAGGCGGCACGGCAGGACGAGCAGGCACGAAGATGGGCCGGGCGGGCAGAGGTGAGGGCCAGGCAGACGCGGCGGGGCCAGGTAGGTGCGGCGGGGCCAGGCAGGCGCGGAGGGACGAGGTTGGTGCAGCGGGGCCAGGCAGGCGCGGCGCGACCAGGCAGGCGCGGCGGGGCCAGGCAGGCGCGGCGGGGCCAGGCATGCGCGGCAGGGGCCAGACAGGCGCGGCGGGGCGAGGCAGGCACGGAGGGGCCAAACAGGCGCGACAGGGCCAGACAGGCGCGGCGGGGCCAGGCAGGTGCGGTGGGGCCAGGAAGGCGCGGCGGGGCCAGGCAAGCGCAACGGGACCAGGCAGGCGCGGCGGGGCCAGGCAGGCGCGGCAGGGCCAGGCAGGCGCGGCGGGGCCAGGCAGGGCGCGACGGGGCTAAGCAGGGCGCGACGGGGCCAGGCGGGCGCGACGGGGCCGGGCAGGGCGCGACGGGGCCGGGCAGGGCGCGACGGGGCCGAGCGGGCGCGACGGGGCCAGGCAGGGCGCGACGGGGCCCAGGAGGGGCGCGATAGGGCTAGGAGGCGCGACGGGGCCCAGGAGGGGCGCTATGGGGCTGGGAGGCGCGACGGGGCTAGGAGGCACAACGGGGCCCAGGAGGGGCGCGACGGGGCCCAGGAGGGGCGCGATCGGGCTAGGGGGCGCGACGGGGCCCAGGAGGGGCGCGACGGGGCTAGGGGGCACGACGGGGCCCAGGAGGGGCGCGACGGGGCTAGGAGGCGTGACGGGGCCCAGGAGGGGCGCGACGGGGCCCAGAAGGGGCGCGACTGGGCTAGGGGGCGCGACGGGGCCCAGGAGGGGCGCGACGAGGCCCAGGAGGGGCGCGACGGGGCCCAGTAGGGGCGCGACGGGGCTAGGAGGCGTGACGGGGCCCAGGAGGGGCACGACTGGGCTAGGGGGCACGACGGGGCCCAGGAGGGGCGTGACTGGGCTAGGGGGCGCGACGGGGCCCAGGAGGGGCGCGAGTGGGCTAGGGGGGCGCGACAGGGCCCAGGAGGGGCGCGACTGGGCTAGGGGGCGCGACGGTGCCCAGGAGGGGCGCGACGGGGCTAGGAGGCACGACGGGGCTAGGAGGCGCGTCGGGGCCTAGCTAGGGTACGGGCGGAAGCGGTAGGTGGGGGATTCTAACCTACGCTCTGATACCATGTTAAGGTGAGAACTGAATAATGGACTAGAAGTAGAAACCTATAACAAATACTAGTTTGGTTGTACTCACTAGAACCATACCAAGGTCTAGTTTATAACTTCTACATAGCTAATACCAGCCGCCCGCACACCAGCCTCCAGCGTGAGGCTGGACCACGCCCCACCCCTCTTCCCTTGTGTCCTGTTCCTCGCCGCAGCCGACGGCTGACTCCCGCCGGCAGTCCCACCGTCGCGGAGTTTGGTTACATCGCCGAGTGGGGCGAGCGCAGCCGCCGCCGCTGCTGTTGTCGAAGCCCCCGTCGCCGCTGCTGTTGTCGCTGGCTTTACTTGCCGCCGCATGCCGCCGCCGCCGCTGCTATCGTCCTTGCTGCCGCCGCTGTCGTCGCCACCGCACCCTTGTCGTTGACGTTGCCGCCCCGCCCGTGGAGAGGTCGACTGCGTTGTCAACCGCCACTGCTACTGCAGGGAATGGGGGTGCTAGGTTAGGGGGTGTGGGTGTGTGTGGGTTCATCTATAACCAAGCCTAGGGGGTGTGTTAAAATTATATTTTATATAACTGTAGGCTTGGTATTTGTGCTACTGCATCCTACTGTAGATGGGATAACTCCCCTTCTTGTATGCCTCTTTCTCTTCAATCCTAGCTTTTCTTCTCGACATTTCTCCTCACTGCTCACGTTCCTAGATCTACTTTCCTCCCACCATCCCATGGCGTCATTCCTAGCTAAGCTTGTGTCCTAACTTGAGGAACCTAGACTCCTAAGTTTCTAACACTCTTTCCAGGCCAACCTCTTCCCAGACTTTCCCCCTCGCCTGAATCTCGGCAATGCCGAGCCCAATTTCGCGTCACGCTGCACGGAACCAGACTGCACCGTTTTTCGTCAATTTCGCGCCAGATTACGTCGCACTGTTGCGCGTGAGTTTGGGAAGAGGTTGGCCTGAGAAGAGGCCGTAGCAAGACGCTCTTACCCTACTCTGATCTGAAGAACGAAATGAATGCATGGATGCAACTATGTACACAAAGCCCTGGACAGACAAAGCATCAAGAGCGTTACCCTTCAGCTTTCTTCACTTGCTCAAGCGTCTGCTGCTTCAAACGCTCAAATATCCCCATCATCCAATCCCTTCCAGATGCAACGTATGGGTTGTTCATCACCTGCTGTCCAGCATGCGACAAGGTAGCCTCTGCTGCTGCTGCAGCGGCTTTCGCCTTGGAAGTCACATGATATGTCTCGTCAACAGATGAGAACGTACTGCTGACAGAAGCAGATGCACCACTGATCTTTTCAGAGATGTTAAACTTCTTGTCAAGCGCAGCTGCAGTAGCTGTTGTCTTCTCTTTCACAGCCGCCATACTTGTTGAGGCAGTCTGGCTAATGCCATGCCTTTCATCTAACGCCCTCGCCTTCTCCAATGCGTCTTTGCTCAGCATATAACCAGAGGCAAGCAGCGACGCAACGGCAGATTCAGACTTGTGAGTAGTTTCTGGTGGACTTGGGCTGGGAGCCTTATCCACCATGGCCTGCCACATTGAAGTAGACGCGTCAGAGCCAATGACCTGAATATGAGTTGCAAAACTGGTCACGCCATTTTGAAACGCGAATTTGGTGGTACACCCTCCGTACCTCTTGAGGGGTAAAATCATGATAATCCTCGTCTGAAAGACGTAAAACATGGATGGGCTGGTCTTCAATCAGTGTTCCCTGCTAAGATGCACATCGATTAATGTTACTACTACTATGACCAAGCGTGTCACCTTTCGCCTTTGCATCTGGCCCGTAAATACTCACTGACAGCAGCAGAGAAGTCTCAACTGCGTGGCCGTCCTTGAAAGTTAAAATTGCAAATCGATTTGAAGGGTACGTTGACGCCTCGTCCCTGCAAAGAGATAGCGCAGTTTTATGTACATCCCAAAGCTCCCCTCAGAATGGCGTGGGGAAAAAGAAACACTCGCGAAATAGATCCTATTAATTGAGCCGCTCACGTTTTGAATACTGCAGAAGAAATGTCTCCAGCGAACTTGAAGAAGTCAATGACATCCCGATCAGTCACTTTCGCGGAAATGTTTAGAACCTTGATGGACTTCTGAAGATAAAGAAGAAATTGGCTCAATAGACGAATCTAACTAGTAAGAAAAAAACACTCGCGAAACCCCATCCTCACCTCCATCATGATAATTTCACGCTGCACGACGATCTGCGAATAACTGTTGTACGAGGGAGAACGATTACTAATCAAGTGTCTCGCAACGACTTCCGCCTGGAAAGCGGTGAAGCAAGCAGACTAATGGCACACGAGGCCTCTACGGGTCCAGCGAACCGCATTTTTAGTAGTTGGTCCAAATTCAACGTCGCAAGGAAGTGCCTGTCCAGTGTCCTGTCCACCATCAACCTGAAGCTGGAACCAGCACTCACCAATTTCGTGACATGCAAGCGATAGGTGGCTTTCGCTCTGACGCGTGCGGCACGTCAACACCACCTAACGGGTACAGTTACCCCTCAAATCATGTTACACAAATAATGAGAATGCTATGAATGGAATTTAAGAGTAGCGCGGAGGGCGATGGCGAAACTGTGAACGAGTGAATGACAATAAAATGAAATATAACACAATATATATGAAACCTAGGGTGATCCTGGACGTAGGATCGGAAGGTTCGGGAAAAGTGTCGAAAGGGCCTCGATGTGTCGAAGTGAGGTCCGGAAAGGCCCAGGAGGTTCGAACTAAAAGGTCTGGAACCAGGCCTATCGTTATCAGGGTATTTTGCCCTGATTCCCTGATTTCACTGGGTATTTTTTTGGCCAACCCTTAATTTTCAGGGTTGGTCTTTTCTTAACCCTAGCCCCTTCATGGTTGTAAGTTACTGAACACTTGGGATTTCAGGGATTGCGTTATGCCAATACTGAGTTTTCAGGGAGCAACGCGTACGAACCCTGAGTGTGATATTCATGTGCCTCTCAACCCTGAAATTTCGGCAATGTCCCCAATCTCTATAAACATTACCCACACACACACAACAACCTACAAAAATTGGCCAAGTCCTAATTGTACAGCCATTCCCTCTACACACCCCACAATTATCGACCAATATCGGCTAAGTCCTATGGTAGACATTCCCCCTACACCCGCAACAAACCACAAATAGTCGGCTAAGTCCTAGTAGCTAGAGTAGCACTCTCCTCAACAAAAAATTGTTTAAAGTCTTCGTGTACAGACAGTCTTCGTGTTGTTTTCTAGCAGCATTGGTTCATTTCGTAATTTCCCCCAGGCCCCTAGTTCCCAAAAAAATAATCCACTACACTTTGACGGTCACGATCGAACGCGATCGTTTTCGACGTTTCTCAGCTGTTCATCGTTGGTCAATCATCAACGGCTCAGATTTGCGCGACCTGAGCTAGTTTTTTTTCTAGTTCAGACGAATTGGGCCCATCTGGAAAAACCCCTGTAAAACCAGAGACGAGCCAAACATAACCCCGGCTTCTAGCAAGGCAGTTTTCGAATGTACCAGGCTTTGAGAGGTGTGGGCTCACAACGCTGAAATCACACACCAAGCAACCCACAAAAATCGGCTGTCATGTGTCGTACAGACATCCCCCCTACACACCTAACCCACAAAAATTAGCTAAGTCTTGATATGCAGTGACAGCACAAAAAAAAATCGGCTCAGTGCTATTGTACACAAGTCCCCCCTCCCACACTCCCACAATCCATAAAAAGGGCTAACGACCAAGTCGTCAATATGAAAAAGGTACCGTAGGTTGTGCAGCTGGCAATGAACCTAACCCTAAATTTCAAGGGTACTAGCGACAATGCTCCCTTAAGGAAACTTTTGTTATTGTCCGTGTGGTCAACTGAAAGTCCATCAAACTTTGACGGCCACGATCAATCGCGAACGTTTCGACAAATTTCAGTCGTTAGATGATCGCGTATGATTAACGTCCTCGATTCGCCCATGGCGCTGCAAGCGCGGGAGGTTTCTGCCACTGCCCCATTCGCCTCGATCCCCACCTCTCCCTCCATTTCGCTTCCCCACTCCCCTCCGTTTCGATCCCCCCTTCCCCTCCGTTTCGCTTCTCCCATTCCTCTACTGTATTTCGAACCACCCCCCCCCCCCCCCCCCCTTTTTTCCCTCCCCGTTTCGCTTCCTCTCTTCCCCTATGTTTCCATCCTCCCCCTTCCCCTCCGTTTCGCTCTCCCCCTCCCCTCGGTTTGATTCCCTCCCCATTTTCCCCCCATTTTTTATTCCCCCCCTCGTGTTGAAGGCAACCCTGAACGCATTCGGTGAACCCTGGGATTTTCAGGGGTCCAAATTTCTGAACACTTACAAATCAGGGTAGGCAATTTTTGAAAACTGAACCCTCATGGTATTTTTTTTTTTTTAGTCGACAGCTCAAGGGGTTTTTTTTTTAAACGTCAGGCCTGTCTGGAACCTATCGCTGGCTCGGGACTGTTCGAGTCGTACGCCCTATAGCAAGCCTCAGTATGGAATTACTAATTCCTAACTCAGTGTCCACCATCAACCTGAAGCTGGAACCAGCACTCACCAATTTCGTGACATACCAGCAATAGGTGGCTTTCGCTCTGGCGCGGTACGTCAATACCACCTAACGGGTACAGCTAACCCTCAAATCATGTTACACAAATAATGAGCACATAAGCTGGTATAATCCACTTAGGTAGGCCATCAATTGCAATTCATTCTTGTTGTGGTAAAATCGTATTTAAAGCCCGTGGCTATAATAGCAATCAAGAGGGCTGATTAATTTGCTCTTGAACTTGGCACATGACTTGATCTTTAGAGTAAACGAAACATAATAAAAACATTTCGTTTGGCGGAATCTGACCGTGGCGGTTTGGCGACAGTTTCTGCACGAAACCATTCGGTAAACAGTGCAATACGCGTCGTGCGACCGAATTCTTGGTTTCGTAAACAGTGAAAATGCGAGAAGAACAGTGCTTTTTTTGCGAACAGTAGCTGATTCTAGAATTGCAGACCTGGAAATCACTTGAATTCCCCAGTCATAAAGCGCCTGTATTTCCTCGTCGCAAGCTGCTCGCCCAAACCCGTCGTAGAAACTCCGTGCGATGCACACAGTGTTTTTGCGCAATTCGCATCCAAATGATCGTGTCGCAACAAACAGCAAAACGAGTTCTTTCGCCATTCCTCCAATCAGGAAGCTCGACCAGAATTAGTTTCGACGCACTTTTCTTGTTCAGACTTGAATTCAAAGCTGCCTTTCCATTCTATAGCAGACCAGACGGATTTCAAAGCACCGAAGTCAAGTGGTTTCCAGGTCTGCTATTTTAGCCGCGGGCTTTAGTTGGCATCCATAGAATGACGTCAGCAAATAGCGCTCGTCTGGATGGTTACGTCAGCAAGCCGTTTCAGTCACGCGAACAGTCGCGCTCTTTTCAGTAGCAGTTACAACGCATAGCGCAAATAGCTCAAACAGGTACATCACCGAATAGGTACTTCTAACAGGCATAAAAGTAGCTTGGACAACTTCATTTATTAACTTGTTCTTCAGTAAATTATGGTCAACAAGTTCTAAGACTTCCGCTGTCGTACTAGTCTACCATTCCAGCAAAGATCCTTGGTTAAGTCTTGAAGTATCGCAAGGCTGTAACACTGACTCTGGTGTTACAACTTGTTAACACTGGCTGTTACTGGAGGTACTTCCAATATTACTTTCTACTTCGAGTACTTTTGTTTGCAGATTCTATACTTAGTCTCCTGCACCACCGTTCAAATTCTTTCAATTCTAATAACACTATAAAACATGATTAGAAACTTGCATGCATAGCTTTGTCCAAGCTTGCACACAGCTCCATATATGGATACATTAATTTCAAGGCCAAACGAAAAGTTTCATATATTGGAAGTTTGTGTTCTGATGAAATATTATGAGTCGTCCACGAATGTCTTTCGATATTTGCCTTTGGAAGACCCCATGTTACGTGAGTGAAACAAGCGGTGCTGCACCGAGTGGTAGAACAACCAGTCAGAAGCGTCGAGAGGGAACCGAGGAAGTCACTGGGGGGGTGAGGCCCGAGAGCTTGTTCGCGCGGGTGTCGCGGCCGTGAGCTAGACAGCCCCAGACGTGAACGTACGCGTCACCAGGGGACCCAGTCCAAAGAATGGTCAGCAAAACCTGCGGTTGTGAGCAGCGAAACGACATGTCAAGCTGGTGAGCCACGTACCGCACCGAAAATGGACCACAGAAAATGGAGGGCACCGGTATGGACCATGGAGGTGCGGGCCACCTCCATGACCAGGCCGATGCGTCGTTCGGCTGCCCCATTCCGCTGCGGCGAGTCTAGGAGGGTAAACGTCTGGGTATGCCCCCTGCATGGCAGAACACGCCAAGACAGTCAGAGATGAACTCGCCACCACGGTCGGAGTGAAAGCGGAACATGGGCATAGAGTGGTGGGTGCGGACAATTTGAAGCCACGAAAAGAGGACGTTAGACACGTCGGCCTTCCGTGCCAACGGGAACACGGTACTGTGGCGTGATAAGTCGTCGATGACAATCATAAAATATCACTACCGGTGAGGCCCAACGACTGGGGCAGGGCCCCAGACGTCCAGGTGTAGGGTCTGTAGCAGTGCAGTGCAACTCAGGCACTGACTTATCATCATTCGCTACGCTACTCTGCAATCTGAGTTGGAGCGTCATACGTCCGAATACCTCATGATGGGATACCTGCTACCTGCACTCGTACAGGCTCACGAGTGTGTGGAATAAAGTACAGAGCAGCTGCTGTTCAAGCTCAACTTTGTTGGCTTGATTTTCTCTATCGACTTCTTGCCTCACGACCCTTAGTATATGTTAAAAACTGGGCGCTTAGCGTCTACCCAGTTTTGAGGGGGGGAGGTGTGAGAGAATGAGGCTTACCGAATCCTTGATCACTACTATTTGCTGTTTATTATTTATTGTATATTATTTTATGTGTTTCTTCCTTTCCTGGAAATCCCTACACTTTTCCCTACACATTGATATATTTTGTAAATATATCAATTGTGTTACGGAGTGTTTTGGACTTTCGTTGCGCAACACGTTTTCTATGGCGTAGATTGTTCCGTCACCGTCAACGTATCTCTAGAATCCCTAACGTGCTTCTAGATGGTGTTTCTACGGACGGTTCTACCCATTTCTAGAATTCTCTTAGAAGCCCTAGTTACCCTTCCCTAGAGTTCTCGTAGGTATAAATAGCATTGCCTCTTAGCTTGTACTCAGACATTCAATTCTTTATTAGTATCATTCAAGCTTCCGCTAAATCCTGGACCTGTGACAACTGTCGTGGGCTTCCTATACTAGTAACTCCTGTAATTAACTGTACTCTCGTACCCA